CTTGCTTCGAACTTTTCCAGCTACAGCACCTCCATTAAGACAAAACACAAAACACGATTACGATCGTGAGTCATCCTTGTCAGTTTGGAAGCTGGCATTAGTATAACCTTTTATACTAAGCTCTTCCTCCCCTCCATAGACAAGAAATTTATCCTTAGTTCTTCTTAAGTACTTAAGGATATTTTTAACTGCAGCCCATTGATTTTCACCAGGGTTTGCTTGATACCGACTCATCATGATTAGAGTATACGATACATCTGGTCGAGTATATATATCATGGCATACATTATAGAACCAATAGCCGAAGCATATGAAATCTTATTTATCCATTCTCTTTCTAGTGGAGTTGAAGGACATATTTCCTTAGAAAGAGAAATGCCATGTCTCATAGGCAACAATCCTTTCTTAGATTCTTTCATACTGAACCTTTTCAGCACTTTGTCTATATATGTACTTTGACTCAGACCTAGAAGTCGTCTTGATCTATCTCTATAGATCTTAACTCCTAAGATATACGCTGCCTCACCCAAATCTTTCATAGAAATAAAACTACTTAACCAAGTCTTAACAGACTGTAAAGTAGGTATATTATTTCCTATGATGAGTATGTCGTCTACATACAAGATTAGGAAAGAAACAATGCTCCCACTAGCCTTCTTATAAACACAAGGCTCATCTTCATTTCTGATAAAACCAAACTCTTTGATTGCATCATTGAAATGAAGATTCCAGCTTCGAGAAGCTTGCTTTAGTCCATAAATAGACCTCTGTAGCTGACAAACCTTTCCAGTATTTCCTGGAAAGACAAACCTTCTGGTTGTTTCATAGACACATACTCTTCAAGTTTTCCATTAAGGAAGGTGATTTTGAAGTCCAATTTCTAGATTTCATAATCATGGAATGCAGCTATTACGAGCAGGATCCAAATGGACTTAAACATAGCTACAGGGGAGAATATTTCGTCATAGTTTACACCATGAACTTGTCGAAAACCTTTAGCGACTAATCGCCCCTTGTATGTTTGTACATTACCATCTATGTCATTTTTTCTTCTTGAAAACCCATTTACACCCTATAAGTTTGACCCCTTCAAGTGGTTCAACCAAATTCCATACTTGGTTTACTGACATGGAATCCATCTCAGATCTCATGGCTTCGAGCCATTTCTCAGAGTCTGGGCTAGACACTACCTCTTGATAAGTCATGGGCTCATCTTGATCCATAAGAAGAACATCTCCATGTGTCGTAACGAGAAATCCAAATCTCTCAGGTGCAAGATGTTCTCTTGTGGATATACACAGTGATTGTGTTTCTAAATCTATTGAATTCTCCTCAACAACTTATGAAACATGCTCAACTTCATGATCATTTATTTTTGGTCCTTGAACTTCTCCAAGTTCAATATTTCTACCATTCCCTTTATTTGAGAGAAATTCTCTTTCGAGAAAAACTCTTGTTCGAGCAACAAACACTTTGTTCTCGTTACGGTTGAAGTAATAATATCCCTTAGTTTCTTTAGGATATCCAACAAATATACACTTATGAGATTTAGGTTTGAGCTTTGTAGACATCTGATGTTTTACATAAGCTTCACAACCCTAAATCTTCATAAAAGACATACTAGGACATTTCCCAGTCCATATCTCGTATGGTGTCTTTTGACCCATTTAGATGGAACACGATTTAGTGTGAAAGCGGCTGTTTCAAGTGCATGTCCCCAAAAAAAAGTTAAAAGATCACTATGACTCATCATTGATCAAACCATGTCTAACAGTGTTCGATTCTTTCTTTCAGAAACTCTATTCCACTGTGCTGTACCAGGTGGTGTAAGCTGTGAGTCAATCCCACATTCTTTTAGGAGTTCATCAAACTCTATGCTTAAGTATTCTCCACCTCGATCTGATCGAATTGCCTTAATACTCTTTCCTAGTTGATTTTGTACTTTATTTTTAAATTCCTTAAACTTTTCAAGGGCTTCAGATTTATGGCGCATAAGATAAATATACCCATACCGACTGAAGTCATCGGTAAAAGTAATGAAGTAATGGAATCCACCTCTGGCTTGTGTATTCATTGGTCCACATACATCACTATGTATTAACCCCAATAAATCACTTGCTTGCTCACCTTTACTATTAAAAGGAGCTTTAGTCATTTTTCCCAATAAGCAAGATTCACATACATCATATTGTTCGAAAACAAATGAATCTAAGAATACATCTTTATAAAGTTTTGATATGTGTTTCTCACTTATATGGCCTAAACGATAATGCCAAAGACAAGTTTGATTCGAGTCATTTGTTTTTGATCTCTTAGTATTTATGTTATAAATGGTGTTATCTTGATCCAAAATATAGAGACCATTAACAAATTGTGCCGAACCATAAAAAACACTATCGAGATAAAAAGAACAACAATTATTCTTAATAATAATCTCAAAGTCAATCTTGTCCAAACAAGAAATAGAAATAATGTTCTTAGTCAAACTAGGCACATAATAACAATTCTCTAAATTTAAATCAAGTCCACTAGGCAAAGATAAAACATATGTCCCTATAGATAATGCAGCAACTCTTGATCCATTTCCCACTTGTAGGTCCACGTCTCTTTTAGCCATATTCATTCTCTTTTGCAGTCCATGTACAGAAGTACAACTATGAGAACCACAACCGGTATCTAAAACCCAAGAAGTAGATGTTGACAAATTAACATCAATAACATAAATACCTGAAACAAACGTTCCGTTTTCTTTTGCCATCTTGACCTCTTCAAGGTAAACAGGGCAGTTTGTTTTCTAGTGTCTGGTCTTATCGCAATGGAAACATTTTCCTTCTTTGCTAACTCCCCCTTTGGGATTCAATCAACCTGTCACATATATACTTGAATATGACTTTACTGACCTTTTTAGAAACCTTGGTGTTGCTACCATTTAGCAGTTCTGGTGCCATCCATGGCAGGTTCCTCACACACCTCCATGAACTAGAGAATTGTGCTTGATTCTTGATAATCCAAAATATACGATCTGCAGAAACAATACGCAGTAGCTATACTTCAAATTAAGAGCCAACGAAAACCTTTCAGAGATATAAGCCGTCCTAGTTCCTAACATGATAACTTAAGGTGTGAATGGGAAAATCTTCATTCATATTTAAAAGTTAAAACACATGAGGAACATACTAGAATTTACTTTTTGATCGAATTCCTGAAATAGGACAATTATTTAGTACGATACCTAGCCACTTGAGTAGAAATCATGCAATTATGGACTTTAACATGTAAAGCTAATGAAGACTATTGGCTGAGAAAGCGAGTGTTACCTAGCCAAAAAATGTAAATGAAATTAAAAGTTAAAGTAACAAAACCTTGACTATGTGTTATTTAAGGCATATGGAACTTTGCTAGAGTTATGTTGCCTATTTTAATAAATCTACTTGAAACAAAACACGCTACTCTCCAAGATAAGTAAGCGGAATCTTCTTAATAATATCTTCTGACAACAATAATATTCATAAATTTAAGACCATGTTTCTCAAACTCTAGGATGAGTGTCAGATATGGTCATGCGTCTGACATGGTTAAGCTCAAAATTTTCTTAGTTTTTTTTTTCGTATATTAGGAGACCATATGTAATATCATCAATCATGAAAATTACTAACATCAAATTGTATATAATAATCATACTATATATTCTCCTCAAACTATACTGCTCGTAACCCAATATTCATTAAGAAGCTTTGAGTAACCTAAAAAATCTAGAAAAAGAATAATTTGATTCCCAAGTTCTGAGGCCAATATAAACCTTCAGCATTGGATTATTGGTAGTAAGAAAGAAATAAATATGACGATGGAGTTTGAATAAATCTCGGATCCATTGAATATGACCCTTACTGATGCCTCTGAACCCCACACTTGAGCATTGAACTCTTATAAAACAAGCAAGCCTAATTTATATTTTAGAGAGAGAGAAAATCTGATTAAGAAAAAAGTAAATTAATTAAGAGGTAATAGAGTTGAAAGGTCGTCTCCAATTTCCCCCTCCAATGAACAAAAGCTTTTAACTGAATGGCAGATAGTGCACAATTTCAGATTAACAGGACAATCACAAGATAATTAAGGTATTTAAAATAGCCTAACCAAACTTAATTTATAATGCAAGATCTCAAAGTCATGATCCCTTAAAGACCCACTCTAAATGAGAGTAATTACCATAACAACATGTCCCCTTAAACAGATGAAAAGAATATAAAGGATATAAGATAAGGTATTGAGAAGTTCATACTGGACGTAAAGGAAGTCCCAACCGGCTGAGGATGCAATTTGTTTGTGGCATAATCCTGTCTCTAGGATGATGATACCTACAAGATGATCCAAATTTGCAGTCGCCAGTCCTCAAATAGTATTGACATTCAGGTTCACCAGGTCTCTCTGGAAATGTATGTTCCTTCTGGTTACTACTTGAAAAGCCAGTAGAAGAGGGCAATGGGGGATAAGGACCTGCAAGCAAAGGTGCTGAAGCAGATACTTACGTTAGTCCGTAGATAGAAGTGGTTCCAACATCAGTTTGTGTACCAGGAGATAGCACTGGGCTTACAGGCGCTTGCACCAAGTAAGCAGAAAAATAGATTCAGGAATCTCATATAGTCTTGATATTATCTTTAAATGCAACTGTGATGATCATCCTACCGAGTAGTGATTCCAACCCTGAACAGGAACCATTCCTGGGGAAAACAGTACAGAACCATAAGTTCCTTGAACATATGAACCAGGTAAAGGTAGTGGCCTTGCCACTCTCATATTGGTGGATGCCCCACCATACTGTTCAGGTATCCGGACAGAAGGAGACCGTACAGGCTGATAAAATTGAGGTGTAGATGATAAAATTGATGTGCAGATGATAAAATTGATGTGCCAGCTGGTTGAGGGTGGTTGAATTTACAAGTAATACCAAATTTACACTACCCCATTTTCAAATAGTAGAAGCATTCTTTCTCACCCTGTTAATGGATACACATCAAATTGATGTCTAGTTGTTTAAAGAATCATCAAAACAGACAATTAAAAATTGAGGAAAAAACAAGGAAAGAGATCATCCAAACTGGTCTTAATGGGTATCCAAATATATTCAATGAAACATGGCTTAAGGATCCACCTCCATGTTTTGGATGATGGAACTTGCAGGATGCACCAAATTTACAGGTTCCGGTTTTTAAATAAAACTACATAGATGCAAAAGAAAGGGGAATTAGTTAAAAACAAAAGGAAAAGGTGTTTGCAGCATTAATTAGCAAAGGAGTTCACACATGAGGAACACATTTAAATTTAGGTGACTTTTCAAGTTCCTCCTGCTCAAGTTCAATAAAACTTTTGACCTTTGTAAGCCTTGCCCTCAGAGATTTCTGAAGCACAGGGGTTTTAGGTTTTGTGAGAAGAGGTTTCCACTGATTCTGTTATAGGTAAAAAAAGAAATAGAAGGCAAGTGAGTTATTTAAGTTTCCAAGTGTATAATGAATCAAAGTATGGCAGACATAGTTCTTTAAACCTGACGAGACACTTCTGTTGAAGCCACTGAAGACGTCTCTGCATTCTTACTTGATCTAGCCATTGTCTCCAAATGAATTTCCTGAAACAGGACAATTATTTTTGTATGATACCAAGCATTGTCTTCATTTAAACCTCAACACCACTTATATACTTAAGCCTAGCTTACCTGAAATTATGGAGGCTCTAGAGCACTTCTTGGTAGTGAGGGTAGTGTTGGAGCTTCAAAAATCTGCACCAAAGAGAAGAATAGACAACAAATTAAAGAAAACTTACTGGAGAAAAATCAACGGTAAAGAACAAAGAGGTAGATGCTATAGGCAATACCTTATTGTTCAATGGTCTTGCTTTTGAAATTTTAGACATCATTTCTTCCTCAAGCTCTATGGTGCTTTTGAAATTTTAGGCATTCTCTGTGCCGTTTCGAATTCGGGTTCTTTAGGCCTTGTCAATTTGAGAGTTGGAATCTAGACAATAGCAGAATTATCCTAATTTGTTAGAAGGAATTTGGTGGGAAAAAAAGAAAGAAGGTGTTGAAGCCGAAATAATGTGATTCTATTTATTTACATTTGACATAGAACTGTGAGGAAGTGACAAATCTCTGGTAGATGATTGGAACTTTCTCATCATTTCTGCTATTAAAACGAATGGTGCCTGTTCCACGAACACAAACCTTCAGGGAAATCACAAACCAAATTTCAATATTGATTCCTAATTGCTAGTGAAAATATGCGAAGATGGAAGTTATCACTGACCTTTCTATCCAATTTGTTTGATGTTTCAGCAGTGAAAGAGCACCGATTGGAACTACCAGTCGGAAGACCAAGTTTTGACTTGTGGGTAACTTATGGGGTTTCACATTCAGAATCTAAGGTACAAAGGGAAGTAATAAAGAGACAAGACTTCTTACAAATCGTCGAAGCTAAAACATGCTAAGGAGAAGAGCATAGAAGCACTTGTCTAGATCTTTCTCCATCTAGTTTCTGTCGTTTGAATGCTTAATTTTCTAGAGTCAGATTAGGAGTTCCAGCATTTCCGGGTTTTGGCTTCAACACCGAGAGGTTCCGTATCATATTAGCTATCTTTTTAGCCGTCTGATGCTTCTTATCACTCACCAGTTTTTTCTGAGAAATCATCAATGGTTTAGGGGTGCAAGCATCAGCTTCTACTTGCACAGTAAATTTGCTTTTCTCTTCATCATCGGGAACATTTAAACATGATTTTTCAGTTAGGGCACTGAAAATCTAACATAAAGGAATCAAAAACTCGATTAATGTTGGGAAAACAACTCTCTTAAGAACAAACCTCCCATTTTCTTGAGCTCAATTAAACAGAAAACCAAAGAAAATAAATCGTACCGACATTAGCGAGAAAGAGAGTGGTATCATTGTGAGGACGAGGTGGAGGGAGAGACTGTAGCGCGGTGGAAGAGACGGAGATCGTCAAGTTCATCAGAGACGAAAATGGATGGTAGAGGCTGGGGATTCAAACTCGGGCCTAACAAGAAGAAGAGAATCGGGATGAAAAGCATGAGAGAAAAAGGAGAGAATGAAAGGAGTGAAAAACATTAGGCATGAACCGATTATCGAGGGGGAAAAAAGTGGGAAACTGAAAATTATGGGGAAATTAAAAGACGACTTTTATAGATAACACACAATTAAAAAGTGTACTACGTGTTTTTGCAAATTTTTTGGATTATGATAATTAAATATGACACACATTATTGTAAGTCATAAATCGTTCATATTTTAAGAAACATGACATTTATTTTATGACACACATTTTTTGCAAGTCATAAATTAGCGTGTGTCATCGTTCGTGTGTCATTAAAGGTATATTTGCTTGTAGTGCTATGGCATTCTTTTATGCCAATAATGCACTCATATGCATTATTATTTTATTCATTCGCTCTAGAGCAGTTCATACTTTAAAATGTATTCATAATATTCTTTCCATACATATAGAAATAACATAATCAATATTATAAAACATAAATAAATTTAAACATCCAAATTTGAATGTTCTTCCTCTTGCATACTTGCAACAAAATACTCACCTGGTAATCTCCGCTAATAAAGTGTAGAGACTTCTGACTAATCAACATCTTTATCTTTCTCCCTTTTCTTGCTAGACTCAAGAGCTTGGTTCCGATCTACACAATTATTCATTAATTACACATAACATACCAATGTTAGTATACTTTTTAACCTTGTACTTTAAGAATAATCAAATATCATTATCTCAATTTCTATAACAATTTCAACCTAATTGGTCATTCCAAGATCAATAGTATCGATACTACTACCCTGGTACTGATACTTATATACTATGGTATCGATACCCCATTACGATATCGATACCAATTTTATGTTCGATGGTGCTTGGTATCGATACTCTTACCATGGTATCGGTACTATTCTATCAGTACCGATACCCCTGCCCAAAATTTCTAGTTTTTAGCTCGATTTTTCACCCCAAATGAGGTCAAATTCGTTATATTAACGCCTTACACATACTATGAAACTCTTCTTTAATTATCCATACTAACTTTCCTTCATTTTGTTTCTTTAAACATCAAACATCTTCCATGAACATTAAATTTTAAGAATCACACCACTTTTCCTAATGTGCTTTTAATTCAATCTAATGTTTCTAATATCTCATTTACCCCTATAACAAGTCAAATCTACCATAAAACATCCATAAACCCTCATATTTCAACATATTACTTAAAAACCCATTGTCTTCAATCTCTATTATCTTATCAATAACTTAGTTTTGATCCCATTTAATCTTTCCTTAAGCTTCTATTATACTCAATTCTTCAAAAACCAACAAAAAAAAATGAATGAATAAACTAGTAATTTGAAAACTCACCTTTGCTGTGGAGGAGGGCTTTTCCACGGGAAGGAGAAAAAAAGAGGGATGGCTTTTATGACTTAGTTTTCCCCTTTTCCTTTCCTTTAATACTATACCAAAGAAAAATGAATTTTAAATTCATTTTCCTCTAAAAGACCAAAATGCCCTCTATATTGATCCATTGTTACTAATTGGTCTTAAACACTATTCCAAATCATTTATTATCTTTTATCAATTATTCAAATAGATCCTCAATTTGTAAATCTTTTTAATAAGGTCACTGACCTGCTATTTGGGGTATTATAGTATGAAACCCCTCCACATTGCTATATCCTAGAAAAAGAAGATGATGGTCATCCATGGTACTAAGATATCTTACAATATATGAGATACCAAACATATCCTTCAGGTGCATCTGAAATTGACAAGAAGGCAATCATAATAATGGCAGTCAGATACTTCCTCGATGAAGATATCTTATACAGAATGGGTAGTAATCAAATTTTGTTAAGGAGAAGCAAAGAGTATTATGGAAGAGGTGCACTAACATGTGGAACACATGCAAATGATTTATCTATGGCCAGAAAATTAAGAGATATGGGTACTATTGGGCCACGATGCATACAGATTGTGTCAAATTTGTAAGAAGATGCCACAAATGCCAGATATATACGGATAAAATCTAGACACCACATTCGGCTCTACATGTTATGATCTCACCTTGGCCATTTTCTATGTGGGGTGTGGACATCGTTAGGGCAATCACACCAAAGGCTTCAAATGGGCATCACTTTATCTTAGTGGCAATTGATTATTTTACTAAGAGGGTAAAGGTTACTTTCTATTCCAGTATCACGAGATCAAGAGTTTGCAAGTTCATAAAGAGAAAGATAATCTGTCAGTATGGGTTGCCATAGAGGATAATCATATATAATGACACTAATTTGAATAAAAAGATTATGGATGAACTCTGTGTTCAGTTTAAGATAAAACATGCCAACTCTGTAACCTATCGCCCAAAAATCAATGGGGCAGTGGAAGCGGCAAATAAAAATATCAAAAGAATCATTACGAAGACTACTGAAACCTACAAATATTGGCATGAGAAATTACCTTTTTCCCTATATGGATATCAGATGACTATGCGGACATCAACAGAGGTAACCCATTTCTATTTGGTCAATGGAACAGAGGCAATCGTACCTATTGAGGTTGAAATTTCATCACTTCGAGTCTTGAAAGAAATATAGTTAGATGAAGCAAAATGGATTCAATCTTGGTTGATTAACTTAATCTTATTGAAGGAAAGAGACTGCAAGATATATGTCATGGACAGATATACCAGAAAAGGATGATGCAAGCCCATGATAAGAAAGTTCACCCAAGAGAATTTTGATAGGGTGTCTATTGCTTAAAAAGATCTTGTTAATTCATAAAGATTTCTATGGGAAATGGATGGCTTATTAGGAAGGGTCATACGTTATCAAAAAGGAATTTTTTGAATGAGCATTGATTTTGGCATAGATGGACGAAAAAGTGATGAGGAACCCAATAAATTCATACTCTGTCAAGGAAATATTTCGCTTAGAAATAAAAAAAGAGAGAAAAAAGTAAAAATGAAAAGGATTGTTCAAGATGAAAATCCATAAAGGGCGTCTTAAGACCAAAGGAGAGATTTGAGTTGAAAACTTGAAAATACGGCTTAAATGCATTTTGATATTGGGGCATTTGGCAAATAAACCCTCTCGAAAGTTTGGTAGTTCGTGAAAGAATTCACATATGCAGGTAGGTTTACAACATTGAGATCTCCCATACAGAGGATCACCTCAAGGTGTCAAATTTACTGATTCAGGAACACTTGTGCTAGAATTCATTGGGACATATGTCTTTTGTCTCTACTCAATTCTTTCGATTTCCATGACTTTGTGTAAAAACCTATATTTTATCAATAAATTTCACGATTATCACTTCAAGCTTCAAATCATTCATTTATTCATAACCTAGCTTCAAACGAGTAGTTTTTCGGTAATACTTTAAATTACCCTATAAAATTTAGGGAATCCAAGGCAAGCCACCATGTTAAATTTCACACTTATTGAAATAGGTGGTTGACAGAAGGTGACACGAGAGATGTCAGTAACCCAAGTGGCAAAATGAATAATGAAATGACAATAACACAATTTGTTCCAATGCATATTTCCGGCTACTCCCTGTAGAAGCACACATAGAATATGAAGAGATCGATCTTGATTTTAGAAGTGAAAAAAGCCAGGATCACAGATCAAACAATGACCCAGCAAAGATAAGAACTCAAAAAAGATATAAAAACAAAGATTTACAAGACCAAAGAGCTTGAAACACGAAAATAACATCAAGCATACATATTTATGCATTTGCAAAAGTAGGAGTATACACATTCATTTTTCATCAAGTTTTGAATATCTGACAGGAATTCAAAGAGTCTACAAAGATTACTTTTCATAATTTCGTGCACAAGAACATTATTTCAGAAAAGATTCAGTCCAACTTTTCACCATTGAATAAAGTGGATCAGAGCAAAAACTTGAGGATTATCGGGTCACTATATTCAGGGAAGGGTTCATAATGAGAAGAATTTGTCCGATGTAGGAGAAGAAGTTCCTAATGAGAAGAACCTGTTCAACCTTGACTCGTCTGTCGACAGTTATTTTCGTCCGTTCTTATTATTATTATTATATTATTATTATATAATTATATATTATACTACTATTATTATATATTATAATTATTAAATATTACAAAGCCCAATTTGGGGCCTAATATT